AAGTGCACACCTCCTTAATGTTCTCTTTAGTTATTTCTGACTGCTGCAGTGTGTGTGTCTACGTATATATATACACAGACACAGACACACACACACACACATATATATATATATATATATATATATATATATATATATATATATATTAATTAGAGAGGACTGCTTTACCGTTAAACAGCTTGGAAAATACACTGGGAAACTGGGGTTCACGTTTAAGAAGTGTGCTGCCTCACACACCAGTAGTCAATTTCACACACAGAGAGACAGGCAGAGAGAGAGAGATAGGGGGAGAGAGGTTTGTTAAGAAACTGCCTGTGTTTTTTCTGTCTGCTGTGCACTGTAATGCTAGCTGGATTCCCCTGTACATGAATGGAATTTAAAATAAACCCCACGAAATTGACTGAAAGTTACAATAGAGCAGCTAAATTAACTCTAACCTGTAGAGAACAATCCTCTAATCCCTAATTACAGCCGGCGTGCAGTATTTTCTGTACAGATTTGGAAAATATTGTGCTAATTATTTTTAGATATTGCCTAGGCCATTACAACAGCATGGCTCCATTGTAAAAGAGTCCAGGTCAGGGGCATGTCTATGGGTGGGCTGGGGTGGGTGTTGCCCACCAGGAGTTAAGCCTTGCACACCCAGAGGAATCATCTTCCCATCCAACCTTCCCAAAAAAAAAATCACTGTTGTAGCTATTTTTATGAGTGTTTATATATTTTGTGTCATAGATAATTTTGTTATTGCACATCTAAAATGCACTGCTTTCCTGTTGCCCGTTTTCAAGGTGTGGGTGTGCTTTATCAGAGCTCCTCCTTCACATTATTGCTAAACCAAGCACTTCTTCACACATGCAGAAAAGACATGGTGAAGTGAACTGCTAAACCAGTGTAGCTGCTCTCAGCAATCCAAGTAAAACAGTTAATGCCTTTGATAAGTTAATTCTTTTCTCTGGTTCTTATAAGTTATATCAGTAGTCTTGTTTAGTTCCACAGTTGAGTCTTCACGTTTTGCAAGCTGTGTATTTCTAAGTTACCAGATCACTTGGTAGCCACTGGTTTAGTGATTACCCATCTCCACGCAAGCTATAGCTGATTTGTTGCTATTCACTGGAGTTGGCTTATTGAGTAGGTGTAAATTATATTTACAGAAGGGGGCACGATTAGTTTTATTTAGATAGCTATCCATCCAGCATGGATAGGTGGTTCATTAAAAAGAGTGACCTTCAACCCCAGTGCATGCTGCCTCCACTGTCGAGCCCAGCACGTCTGCCAACACCGAGCAAAGTGATACACTGTTAGAAATAAAGGTTCTGTGCAGGTATATTTTTCATTCATCAATATACAAACAATTTAAATGTTGCCTCAAAGGTACAACAGTGGCTTTAAGGTCCAATCATGTACCTTAAATAAGTTAAATAAGTTTTTCCAGGTGAAAAGTATGTATTTGCATCTTTTCATAACCTAATGTTTTAAAACAGAACAATAAAATAAAAAGCCTGGAGGTGAGATGGGGTGTGTGTGGAGTCAGTACAACTTAGAAAATATAATTACAATGGATTATGGTACAGTTATGTTCCCTGACTAAAGGTACTGAGATGTACCAGAAAGTTTAGTGCCTTTTTTCTGAGAATGTACGGCAGCAAACTTCCATCCTCCACAAAATTCAGAAACACCATCCTCCAGCTCTGCCATGTCCGCTCCTGACTTAAATATAGCCTGTCCCGGCCAATTATATGTAGTTATCCCAGGTGCCGATTTGGACAAACTGCGAGAAGCTTAGTGCAGGATGATACCTTTCTCACATGATGCTTGCTTTTGCTTTGCCTGTTTCAAATTTGGTGTTTTCAATTCAGAACGAGAGGACATATTCACAACCGTGGACACAGTAATTGGAAGAGAGCATTTGAATGAGACTCTGTATTCCTCACATTAGAGCAATGTCTGAATGGCAGGAATATCAGCGTTGTGCGGAGATAGGTGGAAGTATCGTGCAACTACTGGGTCAAACCCAGACAGAAAAGAACAGGCACTATGTTTACGCAAAGTTGTTCAGTTTCTCACTGTAAATGAGCTAGCTCTCAGTGGGCACCATCAGGGGGATGAGGTGGGTTTTTTGATTACTTGCAGAAATTGCAAAAGGCATCGCTGAACACACTAAATACACAACAAATGCTGTTCAAAATAAAAAAAAGGAATTTGTATATGCTACAGACTGACATCCTAACTTGCCATATAGGGAAGTTAGGATGTCAGTCTGTAGCATATACAAATTATAATATAAATATTAAATATACATATATACATATACATATACAAATCAGTCTCAATACAACTGCATTGAGCTGCATTTTACTGTTCTAGTTCCCCCCTGTCCCCCCTTCACTAACCTATGTTATATGTGATGATTTGATCTTTTATTTAACATTATCTTAGACCTAAACGCGGCATTCAGCAAGCAGCCTGAGTGATTAATTGCATTCAGTAGGTAAACAGAACATCTCTTTATACTGTCTCCAATCTAGCTTACTCACCTTTGTCTTCTTTTACCTTTATTGATGTTTAACTTAGCTAGCTATCAGTTGCAATCTAGATGTTTTACAATAGACACAGAAGTAAACAAAAAAAACCCCCCACAAAATAGTAAAAAAATAAAAGCTTTATTGCATCTGGTAATCATAGTGAACCTAGACATTGTTCTATTCTAGGCAGAACTATAGTAGTTCATTATACGGATGTTCATCATACAGCCCTGCTGCCTGACCCTATGCATTCTGTTCTGTTGTAGCTACTAAAGATCCAAACTAAAATTTGTTCACAAGTTTTCCTCTCTAGTTCATACAAATGCTCATTGCTCATCATAAATTCTAAGTCAAAATTTTACAGAGTTGCATTACTTTTTTTCTTTTTCACAAGGTAATGGCCTTGGCACCCCTAAAAAATCGGATACTGTAATTGTATTCATTTTGCCCGCCCCCATTAAATTATGTCGTTGTTTACATACCCTACTTAGGAAAAGCAACATTGTTGTTGTTGCCCACCCAAATAATTCAAATGCCCACCCAAAGATCCTGGTAACACCTCTGGTCCAGGTGCTAAACTGGCCTGCCTGTAGTCCAGACCTGTCACCCACTGAGAACATTTGGGGCCTTATGAAACAAAAATTACAACAAAGGAAACCCCAAACTGTCAAGTAAATGAAATCCTGTTTCAAGCAAGAATGCGAAAACATTTCACTTTCAAAACTACAGCAACTGGTCTCTTCAGTTCCCAAACGCTTACAGAGTGTTGTTAAAAGAAGAAATGTTGGAACACAGTGATAAACATGCCCTTGTCCCAACTTTTTTTAAATGTGTTGTTGGCATCAAATTCAAAATGGGCATTTAAAAAAAAAGAAACTCTGTTTCATCATTTGATATGTTGTCTTTGTACTATTTTCAATTAAATATAGTTTAAATCATTTGCACATCATTGCATTATGTTTTTATTTACATTTTGCACAGTGTCTCCTTTTAGGAAAGAGGATCGTATTTTATACATTTGTATTTTATATATATATGAATGTATGTATGTATGTATGTGTGTGTATATATATATAGGTCAGGGCTCTGTGCGTGCCAGTCAAGTTCAGTGATGTCATGCTGGAACAGAAAAGGTTCTTCCCCAAACTGTTCCTACAAAGTTGGCAGCATACAAATGTCCAAAATGTCTTGGTATGCTAAAGCATTAGGATTTCCCTTCACAGGAACTAAGGGGCCTAGGCCAGCCCCTGAAAAACCCCATAGCATTATCCCTCCTCCACCAAACTTTACTGTTGGCACAATGTAGTCAGGCAGCTAGCATTATCCTGGCATTCGCCAAACCCAGACTTGTCTTTCAGACAGCCTGATAGGGAAGCATGATTCATCACTCCACAAAATATGTTTCCACCGCTCCGAAGTCCAGTGGCAGCATGCTTTATACCACTCTATCTGATGGTTAGCATTATGCTTGGTGATGTAAGGCTTGCATGCAGCTGCTCGGCCATGGAAGCCCATGTAATGAAGCTCCCAGTGCACAGTTTTTGTGCTAATGTTAATGACAGAGGAGGTTCGGAAGTCTGCATTTATTGAGTCAGCAGAGTATATAATACCATTCCTATAATACCACTTACATTTGATCGTGAAATGTCTAAGTGGGAAGAAATTTCGCAAACTGACTTTTTGCAAAAGTCGCATCTTATGACAGTACCACATTCAAATTCAGTGTGCTCTTTAGAATGACCCATTCTTTGATAAATGTTTGTAAAGGCAGACTGCATGGCTAGATACTTTATTTTATACACCTGTGACAGTGGGACTGAATGAAACACCTGAATTTAATGATTAGTAGTATTATGCCAATACTTTTGTCTGTATAGTGTATACATGTATGGGTCAAATAAGGTGTTTATTAAAAAGGACATAATGTGCATTTGTATACCTGCATATATGTATCCATTTATATCTATGTGCACATTGTTAAATATGGTTGGTGTTATCAAAGCCTTTAATTGCCTATTTCAGTTATTAAAACTCTACCAGTCTGGGTGCACCATTTGACTTTGTGCCACCTGACCTCTCAGACTAATTTCTTATTAAACAGGCATCTTATATTATAGAAGATAACTACTTACAACGCCTTTTTTGATGTGTGTGGTTCTGTGTGTGTATGTGTGTGTATACATGTATGTGCATGTGTGTGCACGTGTTTGTGAGCAGGCTAGCGATTATGTGGAGCGGTTGTGTATGTTTGAATAACTAAGAGAACTGAGTCTAGTGCATGGGACAGGTTGAATTAATTGGGTTTGGGAGGTTACCATTGTAGGAAGTTTTTAATCAAGGCTGTTCCATTGATATATAATCTATGAGTAAGTTATTCCAGTGAGTGATGTTGGTAGTCCTCCTTGATTTTTTTTTTTACTGTTTTTCATTACTGACAGACTTTTTTAATGTGTGATTCTTTCTCCCTGTGTGTGGCAGGAATTGTGTCCAAATCATTTGAGTGCCGACTGAAGGGTCAGGGGGCATCATATGTTGAGACTGAATCTGCGTTTGCACCGGATGAAGGGCGGCTGGGCTCGGAGGCACTGCAGCAAGTAATCATCATCCAAGGCTATGGTGAAGCAGGAGCTATGGAGCAGGAGCTGGAGGAGTCGGCTGCTGCCACACTGCACACGCTCGCCATGACACACACACACACACAGCTGCAGGTGGCCCAGGTGCTGCACATCACCGAAGACGGACAGGTCATACCCTGCCACAAGGTGGCGCCATCCGGGACCCCTCTGCCTGAGGGAGCGACACAGTACCTGCTGGTGGAGGGCCAGGAAGAGGGCCAGAGCAGCCCAGAGCAGGCTGGGGTCAGCCAGGTGCTGTCTGAATCCTCCACTGCACTGGACGCCCTGCTGTGTGCAGTGTCAGAGATTGGCCAGCAGGGCAGCACCGGAGAGACAGAAATCATCACCTCAGAGCAAGAGGGCCATGCCCAGGGTGAGGGGCATGAGGAAGTACAGGTGTATGGGGAGGTTGTAGAAGGTGTCGAAGGTGAGGGAGCAGAGTCAGTAGACGTTGTCACGCAAGTGGTTGGTCATGGCGACCAGGACACACCTGAAGGGGTGGTGCAGGAAGTGCTGCAGTTTGCCGCCAGCCAGTTGATGATGAAGGAGGGGCTTACACAGGTAATTGTAAACGATGAGGGGACGCATTATATTGTAACAGAGCTGGATGACTCCACCCTGCAAGTAGAGGGCGCTGTGTATGCTCAGAGTGAAGGGGTGGAGTCTGGGGAAACCAACCAACCAAATGAGGGCACAGTAACCTATTCACACATCAGCCTTAACCAAGCTGCTCAGGAATGAAGGGGTGGGTCCCAAAGAGCTTGTACCCCCCACCTTTTTCTCTGAGTCCATTTGGCTCCACACACTAACTCAGGAGCTGGAGAAGGCTGGTTTGGGCACTGATGATGGATGATCAACAACCTCCTGCTGCCATTGAAAAGCTGTAGTAAATCCTTTTCAAGTCTACTGATTTTTTCTCCTTATTACAAGCTAAATCTTTTTAAGAGGCAATGTTGTAGCATCATGATCAGAGATCCCTTCATGGAATAATTAATTTTTTTCATAAATAAAATGTCACACCAAATTGTTCATGACAGCTCAATGGAAGGTACATTATCATTTAGCTAAAAGTTGTCCAAAAAAGCCATGTTGTATTTTGTTTTTTATTTTTTTTCTTAACACAGAGTGTTCTACAAGAAAAAAAATGCATTTCAGACTTCATCGCAATGTTTGTTTTGTTTTTGAATATTTCAGTAAGCTTCTTTTTTTACATTTGTTTAGATGGGAATTTTCTTGCTTTGTTTGGTTCATTTTGCATGTTGAAGGATTTGACAATGTCAGGTTGTGAGCAAATGGATGGTCAGTGTTCAGCAGCAGACACTCAAAATCACACTGAAACTCATCACTGCTACGCTTCCCTTACAATGGTTTTGAATTAATTTTAAGCTCATTAACTGATTAATGTAATTCTTTTGCAGGAAATAAGATGTTTTTTCTGGCTGTCATCATCCATTTTTATTTATCCGTGCTCTGCCCACAAAGGCATTCTTTCATAGCTACTGTAGCACACAGAGATTTGCAATAGTTGAAATGGATAATTAAATATAATAGTTCTGTAAAACTTGTCGAAGAACACATTTTAGGCAGATCATTGATAGTATAATGAAGTGGCTGTTTGGATTGTTTGCTGACATCTCTCCCATGTTGTAAATGATTCTTGTTGTTTTCTATATTATGCTGACGGTTGTAGGTCTGGGAAGTTTTAATTCAGACCAGACAGTTTCTTTTTACATTCTGCTTATAAAAACCCTTACTTAATACTACTATATTTTCCTGTGTTGATTCTTGTCTAAATATAAATCTCACTCCACTTCAGTGCTGATTTCTCTGAAATTAATTCTGAACACCTTCAGCTCAATTACATCAAAATTACACTGAAAAAACTTGTTTCTGAAATTTTCCACTGTGATACGTTTTGAGGGATCCAATATGAATAGCAGAAATCAGTAACAGAAACATGTTTAATCGATCAAAAATAAAAAGAATAACAAAATGCGTAAATAAATACATGTACTTCTGTGCATGTCTGTGTGAGTTGTTTAATTAGGTTTAGATTTAAGAGTCATTAGGGTGTATTAGTTTAGGGTTATTATTATAATTATTATTAGTATTATTATTATTATTATTTTTTATCTTTTATTATTATTACTGCATGAACTACGAAATACGGAAAAATTTGAGTGGACAAAATAAACCTTATCGAAATATATATTACTTTCAATTAGTGGTATAATGATACACACATTTTATGATACAGTGCATATTGCCATATTTGAGTGATTGCAAGAAATGCTAATGTAACTTGCCCATTTATTTATTTTCCTAAATGTTCTGGCTAAAACAAGTGTGAGGAGGGAATTTCTAACTTGGCTTAATCACTCCCAGCAAACTGCAGAATCTAGGAATCTCCACAACAAACTAGAGGTGCAAATTGGAAGCTATAAACATCCCTGTGGAGTTAAGTGTTTTACTCGTTCAGAATCGACACATGGCGGCTGCTTGATTCGTGTGGAAAAGTAACTGCTGCAACTCATGTTTTCTTCTCACTCCTGTAACTGAGATATTTGGGTGATGTATTCAGAAATGAGTTAGAATATCTGGGGTATTATCAAAGGTATCTGACACGCACACAGTGTCAGCACACTATCACTATTCTGTCTACCACTCTTTGCCAAGCATTACTGCACACAGCATGGACACCAAACTGTTCCCAAAGAGGAGATAAATATGAGGATACCTTTTCTTCCAGCTAAAGTTTGCTCTCTCCACACACCATTTCAAACAGCTTAGCTCATGAAACATCCAAGGTTGACAAAGCTGAAAGTAGCTTCTTATTGAAATTTTCCTCTGATGCTTCAGAGCGTAACTGCTGCACCATTGAAGGTGAAAGGGAAAAAGTGAAAAGAAGCTGGCAAATAAGAAGCTAACTTGAGCTTCATCTTTTAAGAATATCATGCGTTGTGTTAAAACTATACAAATCATCCCCAGGATTGCACACTTTATAGCATGAAATCTGACTGTATTTGATTCACAGCATGTATTGTCTCAACTCCATATAGAAAAAAATATTAACATGTGTATTCTGACACCATACTTTCAATACTACAATGACAGTTATAATAATGATTTTTATCAGAGTCAACACCGTTTCCAGTTTTCATCACCAACATCCAATGAGAGTGTTATTATTTCCGGGATAATTATACTTAATTTCTAAGTGCAATAATTTCACAGAATCTCAATTGGTTAAAGCGCTAAAAGGAGGAGAAATCAGGCTAAAACTGAATAATATAAACAAACAATGAACGGTGTTAGCGGAGTAGTGTAGAGGACAAAACAGCACAAAAAAGCACAATAAAACGTGTGGAAGAGCCATCACTCAGTGTTTGGTCACCAACAGGTCAGACTGAAAACTGTTCTTTTTACCCTACCATCTCCACCTTCACGCTCAGTGCAGCAAAGAATTCAATTTCAGACCTAAAGCAGCTGCAAGACTTCAAACTGGCACACATAAGAGATGGAAAAGTGTGTGTGTGTGCATGGGGTTATCCCTCGAGAAAGTGTAAATGATAGAGTGATGGTGCACTTAAAGGAAAAAGCTCTTCTCCAAAAAATTACTTCTTTGATTATTTCACCCATTTCAGTCTGCAATATTAATTTTGCTTTTATTTCACTTCATCTATTTTTGGGAAGGCTGTGCTTTACTCTACCAGCTTCATATATGCCATTTGGTATATAAAAAACTTTGTCATTATTTTAGACTAAGTTTACAAGGAGCACCATGTTGTTTAATGCAGATCCAGCTCCTCTATAGCCAGATTTATTTTAAAATGTTTTAAATGTTTATTTGGATAAAGTCACTTATGAAAGTAAAAATCCAAGAAGAATCATAATAAGGGATGACTTAAAACTGACCAAAAATATATCACATTAGTCCAACTTTACTGACCCTGTTTGACTCAAAACATATGAGAATATTTACATACACAGCCTCAAAAAACCCTCTACATGATTTAAAGAAAATTGTCTTCTTACATTTGGAATATCATATAATGTTAATCAGTCGATGTTCATTATGTCTCTGTAAAAAAAAACAAAGTTCATAAAATTAGCTTTGACATCTAAATGGCCTTTTGTGTTGTTCATTGTGCTCAAGCATTTGGATTTTACCTTAATTTTCTTAAGAAGAATGTAAAGAATATACAGAGGATGCATATATATGAATGTATGGTGCCAATGCTATAAATCATCTTTTCTATCTTTGGTTATATAGTGTTCTCTTTTTTCATGTGAATACTAATTTTTTGTGTTCTACTTTAGGTTAACATAAAGAACCAACAATGCCTGAGCTGTGAGTAAGTATACAGGTCACTGGGCAAAATCGACCATGGGATTTACAAAAGAACAGCAAGCAGTTTAAATTCTTAAGGAAAAAAAAAATCTTTACTAACCAGGCTGTAGCCTGACAAAACCCCATTGTAGCCAGGCAGATTTATCTGAATCTGACTATAGCTCGACAAAATTCTGAAACTGACTGCAACCTGACTGCGACCCGACAAAATTATTCTTTCTAAACCCAAGTGCACCATGACGCATTTCTGCTTGAACCTGACTGTAGCTAGACAAAATTGTCCCAGCTTTTGAGCAGCGCTATAAAATTCTGTCTGAATCTAACCGTGGCTCTACAAAATTCTGTCCCAACCTAACTGTAGCCTAACAAATTTCTGTATAAACCTAACCATGGCCTGACAAAAACCTGTGAAAACCCAAATGTAGCTGAACCTGACCATGGCCTGATGAAATTACTGTCAGGACTGTAGGAAGACAAAAACTCTGAATCCAAGCATAGCCTGAAAATTCTGTCTGATCCTGACTGCAGCTTGACAAAATTCTGGGTAAACCCAAATGTAGGCTGGCAAAATTCTGTCCCAGACCATATATAGTCTGGCAAACTTCTTTCTGAACTGACTGTAGCCAGTGAATTTCTGTCTGAACCTGACTGGTAGCCTAGCAATTTTTTTTTTCCCAACCTGACTGTACCCCAACACAATTCTGTCTCGACCTTACTGTGGCCCTACAAAATTTCTGTCTGGACCCAACTGCAGTCTGACAAGATTGTGTCCAAACCCAGCTGTAGCTCTACCCTACTGTATCCTGACAGAATTCTCTCAGCTTAACTGTACCTTGACAAAATTCTGTCTTAACCCCACTGGAGCCCAACAAAATTCTGTCTGAACCCAAATGTAGCCTGACAAAATTCTGCCTGAACCTGACTGTAACCAGACAAAAATCTCAGCCTGACTTTAACCCAACACAATTGCCTGAACCTGATTATGCCCAAAGTTCATACGCATTTCCCAGTCTGACAGAATTCTTACTGAACCTGACTGTAGGCCAAATAATTCACTTTGAACACATCCGTAAGCCAACATATTTCTATCTGAACCTGACATGATGAGATTAGTCAGGTCTTGTCAGGTATAAGTTATACCGAGGGCTGTAGAGACCATACAAACAGAATCACATTGTCCATCTGTCTCTCTCTCTCACATGCACACATACGCAGTGGACACACTGATCCCTCTCTGCTGCTTCCCTCTAAGGCACCCGGCCATGGCTCAGAGCTCAGATCAGAGAGGCCAAAAAACACCCCGGGAATTCCTCACACACACACATACACACATCCTTGAAGGATGATGGCGGTGTCTCTGCGGGTGTGTAAAGTGTGAATAAGCTGTCAGTGTGTGTATTGTTGAGGCTGAGCTGGAGCGACAATGGCAAAGTGTCAAACTCCCAGAGTTACCCACAATCCTCTGCAGAAAAACACACCAGCAGCATCTGCACAGCTATAGACAGATAGTTACAGAAGGAGGGGAGTGTGAAAAAAAAGAAAAGAGGATGAGACAGATGGATGACAGGAAGAAAAAAAAAAGAATGGGAAAAAAAGAAAGAAATAACGCAAAGGAGAGATGAAAGAAGCAGAGAATGGTTCCCACTGAGGCACTGCATGTGTTCGGCAGGTTAAAAGGAAAAAGAAAAGAAAAGCACATACAACGATAAGCTTTTAGCAAATATCTAACAGGGAATAGAGGACACAATTAAAACAGAAGTTTTTAACTTCATTAATATCTTCATCTCACATTTATCAAAATAATTAAGCATAAGATAGTGATGAATAATGATAAATAAGGAACATGTAAATTAAATCTCTCTTGGCTGAAGTATGATTAAACCCTTTGTATAATGTAGTTTACTCTTATGGTATATTTTATTTTACGTGATGTGCTGTTTGTATGAAAAGGTTTGCTGGATAAGCGGTTTCAACAGGAGAAATAGACCATTTTTATTACTGATTGGGTGATGAGCTACATGCCACTGTCCTTTTGGTGAGAGTTACAAAAACTATATAGTGTCATTGCTGTCAATACATATATTGCCAAAAAAAATCTTAGATTTTTATTAGGGCTGTCAAAAAAATAAATAAATCAATCATGGTTAACCTCATTTATTTATGTAGTTAATCGTGGCCAACTGCATTTGTCGTATTTGCGTAAATATGACTATAAAGAAACAATTTTTTTCATTTAAAAAGCAGTTCATTTTGTTGTAGCCATGAGCCGACAAAGTAAGCTTCACTCTTACTCTCATTCATGAAGCTTGGGGATTCTTATGAAAATGGAAGCTTTTGAGGGGAACTATAGCTTTCCACTTTGCTATTGCTTTTGTTACTTTGCTCCTATAGG